AAAAAACTATGAACCAGAGACACTTTTTGGGGGTGGGGGCGGGAGGGGAAGGATTGGGGTCAGAATGGGGCGTTTGCAATTGTATGGGGGAATATAAAAATAAAATTTAATATTTAAAAAAAAAAATAAATAAATATAGCAGGACAATTAAAAAAAAAAAAAAAAAGGATATTATAAATAAAATCTTTGGCCTAGAAAAAAAAAAAAGAAATACAGAAACACAGTTGTGCCTGAATGCAAAGTCAAATCACTTAGCTGTCTTTTTTATGTGAGAAGTAATTTTCACTTAATCTGAGTGGAGAAAGTCGGTGAATCCACACCCATAACAGTTTACCCAGGCATTCAGAAAATAAATAAATAAGTAAATAAACAAATAAACTTAATGACATTGAACCAGGATACTTCCTTTGGAGTATAAATTGGATTTTTAAACACATAGAAACTTCCACCCAATGGTGAATGAGTCAAGATCTGGCCTCACACACAACAGCCCAGATCAGAATGGTGGGTTTTCAAAGGCAGTGAGATCTTCACTACAGTTGGTGCAGCACATCTGTTTTCTTCAGCCAGGATCTAGCTCAACATCACCATCCAGGTAAAAAGCCACCAGATCCCTGAAGTCCTTAGAAGCCCTTTGTCCTGAAGTTTGATGGAATCAATCTAACTCTGCAAGGTTTTTTCTGCCAGCATTTTTGTTCTTTTCAGTTCCTATGGTTTCTATAAGTCCTCACCCTTTGAAAAGATCTTATATAAACTATAATTTATTATAGTTCCTTGCAAAGCAATATAGAACTGACATAATTTCTTTATGGACAAACCTAGTAAAGAATTGGCGCCACATCTTATAAACATTTATAAGTGTTTATACTTTAAAATGAATTAAAAAGAAAGAAGACATTTTTGACTGCAACCACACGTAATCACCAGCTGAGAGTTCTGACAATGAGACGCAAGATGTGTATAGGGATTTAAAGAGAGCGTAACACCCGAGGAAGTTGCACAGAGGCAGAATCAGATAATAATGCATGGCTGAGTGGCAGTAATCCCTGCTGAAGTCTTACAGCAGGAATCCCTAGTGCACTCAGTGATAGAGTACAGTTTCCAAGTGAGTACAACCATCAGGTGATCCCTGATCATTGCCTTTGCACAAGTTAACCTGAGATTCCCGAGACTAAAATAGCCCCAGCTCCCTCAGTCCAGGCTGAGTGGCTCAAGTTTGGTTTACCGTGATGAGGACTAACTTAACTATTTTTACTTAACCTTCTTTATAATACCATCTATTTATTGTTTTACTTCACCTGCAGGATGAGATTGTCAGGGAACTTCAGTGTACTGGATAAATCCAGCAATGTAAAACAAATAGAGATGTTGCACAAAACATTACAAATGCTTAGCTGAGCTTCCAAGAAAGTAAAGAATCTTCTGGAATCAAGAATGAAGAGCTATTGCATCCAAGGAAGTTGCTGGGATGGGTAGCCTAGACTAGAGTAGAAAAAATCTGTCCTTGCACAGGAGGTCAACAATTGTTTTCTGCCTTGTCCAGGTTTAGTGTGTGAGGGGAATATCTTCTCTGAGGATTTGTTGTCACACCTTTCGGTAGATCCTATTTTGAATTTATTCCATACACTATGATCTGGGGAATCTGAAAGCTAAATAATAATCAATAAAGTGCTCCAAGCACTGCCACCATTCTACTATCTGGTAGAAGCAACACAGAATGACTTTTTTTTTTTTTTTTTAAGATTTATTTATTTATTTATACAAGCACTGGATACAGTCAGAAGTGTGGGAGGGTGAGAGAATTCACCAGAGCGAGAGCAGGGAACAGAACAGGCAGACTAACAAGGGGAGCAGTGGGCGCGGCAGAAGAGGTCTGCGCGCCATGTGGGGACCTCATCAGCGGCCCGGGGATCAAACCAGCGCTCCAGAGCCTGAGGGTAGTTTTGCAGCCAGCGCTCAACCACTGCACCACCAGGGGAGGCCCAAAGCACTATTTTAAGGAATACTAGCTGAGATTTTCCTAGAATTATTAAAGGCTCACCCTCATGGTCAGGAAACAACAAATTCTGAACAATATAAGCAAAAAATAGTAAGTAAACTGCAAATGTTTAAAGACAAACAGAAGATCTTAGATACAATTGAAAAGAAAAGATGAGATGAGCAGAGATTACATTTCACCCTAGCCATGTGGGCAAAACTGCTTTTTTTAGCACAATTCATATGTTCTGGATTTGAAAGGATTTTGTTCTGTTTTTATATACAGGTAACTATATATATTATTTTAGAGAATATTAAAATATTAAATACAATTCAAATTTTAAATATGATGAAAGCATATGAAATGTTATATTGTTACCTTGGAGGACACCAATGAGGTATAAAGACTGTCATTACATTTTCTCTCATTGAAGTAATTTTCAGTTTTATAGAAAAGGAGTTTTCTGTTTTGTGTGAAATAAAGTTGTAACTTTTACATAATACAGTTTTTTCCTTTTTCAAAAATTTTTGTTCCCAGTTTCCTAAGCATTCATAAAACATTCTTAGAAATAAAAAAAAAAATAATTTAGCAAAGAGAAAAACACTTTGATGTTGTTTTGTTCTTGTTTGTTGTTTTGTTTGTTAATAATAGCATAATGCTGTATCCATATTCGGTAAGAATTATCTATGTATTCTGTGATATCAGAAAAAACCTTACTTGTTGCTTAGGACAATAATATAATCTACTTAGAATCATTCTTACGAGTCATAGACATCCACAATCCATCATGCATTTCTATAAATTGTCAGTAAATTAAGCACATCTAAATTATCTGTGCAGAAATTAACTTAAATTTCTCATGTTGAAATGTATCTGAGCTATCGATTGTTTTGTGACATTGTCATTCCCTGCAGGGATCATAGCATACTAGTTTTCTGAACAAGGTGTAGTGAAATGATTGGTCATTTATACAATGTGATTGAAATTAAAGCAGTATTTTTTTTTTTACTTAATTTTTAATGACTTCTGAATTTCTCCTAATTAAAGTAAATCAATTTTATAAGGAAGCTATATATTTTCTCATCATATTTCCATATGTAAGTATGCTAGAAATGTTAAATTCTATGTTAGAGAATATAATCATTCAGTAAGATTTAAATTGATTGTCTCTTATTTCCTTATTTCTTCACAGATTGTGAGTGTTGGAAGCATGTTAAAGGCTACCATTATATCATTGCAAACTTGGTAAGAATCCCTTATTTCCTAATTGGTTAACTTCCTATAGATGCAGAATTTCAATATAGATATGTTTGGATTCTTTAAAATAACAGTCCTCTAAACAGAGAAACAACTTACAGAATATTACAAATATCTGGGATTCTTAAATTAAATTCTTTGACTAAAATACAGATGGCCGGGTCCATGTATGTAAATAAAATATTATTCAATTTTAGGAGCCACCCAGGGGTCCCAAACTACTTAGGAGTGTATGCTCTAAAAGAGTGCAGCCAGTCACCACACAAAAACAAAGGAAACAAACTCTTATTGTGACAAATCTTCAACAGAATTAGTGTGCATGGAGAGGGAGAAGAGTATTTCTAATAATAGTTTCCCAATAACCCTCCCCAGAATTACCCATACCCTCATGGGCAAATGCACAGCCAAACTGTCAGCCTGAAGCAGGGCCACTGAGCCCCAAAAGTACCTTTTGGCGGGGAAACCACAAAAAAGGGGTTAAGCAGGTCCAAAGAGCTGGAACTGTAGGAGAAATTCAGAATTCAAAGTTACCAATAATGCCTCTCTCCAGCATGTCTCCTCCAAGTTTCCTTCCTAGCATTATCAGGTGCAAATTGGGTCACAGGAGAGCAACAGGCCCTCCCTTCCCTGTTATGTAATCTGCTCTACTCCGCCCCTACTTCCCAGTAGCTCTCCTGCTCAGTAAGTCTGGTTCATGGCATATTGGGACTTGTAATCCAAGGTGGCTGCATGTAAGTGGGGGCGGGAAAAAATGGTGCCAGTTTAGTGCTCTATAGTACTCCTCCTCTTTTCATAGTGACACCTCTGTAACATAAACATAAGGACACAGTTGGTTGTGAGTGCACTTCAGCATTATTTAAATTTGCCTTTTAATTATCTTTATGTCCAGTTTGTGTCTTCAGTTAACTATGATTCAGTCCCATGCATCATATTCTAATGAAATGGGAATAGGTTTAAGTTTCTTATGCCCCACTGATACTTTTAGCCTTTGTAGTTATTGCAGCATGTTGGCATCTCACCTCCAGCAAGCCCTAAAAAAGGAGGATCCCTTCCCTATATCACTCACACATTAGGCTGATGAGGGGTCCAAGAAGACTCACAGAGAACTGACACCATCTAAACAGCATGAACTGTGCCTGATATCTAAGTGAGTGGACATGTACCTCTCCCATTCATGACATTTCACTGTCACTATTATTAACAGTTGCAAATTGAAAATGGGTAAAAAATTATAAGATTGAAAGATTGCTGAAATCTTCCTTCTTTGGTACTTTTTTTTTATTTTTTTTTATAGAGGCATGTTTTATTTATTTGTTTGTTTGTTTTGTTTGTTTATACATGCACTGGGTACAGTCAGAAGCGCGGGAGGGTGAGAGAATTCACCAGAGCCAGAGCGGGAGCAGAACAGGCAGAAGGACCAAGGTACACTGCTGAGGGAGCAGTGGGCAGCAGGAGAGGTCTGCGCGCCATGTGGGACCCTCCTCCAGTGGCCGGGGAGCAGCCGGGGATCGAACTGGCGCCGCAGAGGGCCGCGGGCAGCTTCGCAACCCAGCACTCAACCGCTGCGCGCACTGGGGAGGCCCCTTCTTTGGTACTTTTTGTGGCTAGAATGTGGGTACACATGTGTTGTATTTAGACTTATCCAATATCTAGTGGTACTGGCGTAAGCACATGTTATCCCAATAAATAAAGCTCTCTCCTAAAAAGTTCCAAGAAGCTAGAGACAGGAAAATATTACCTGCTGGTTTACTTAGTCTGTTTTCATGGATTTAAATGAGAAAATTGCTTTCCAATTTTGCCCGTAGACTTTCTCTTTTCCAGTTCTTTGTTCACTTTGCTTCCAGTTATTTTTTTAAAGATAGGTATGGTCATATCATTATCCTGTTTAATTATTTCATTAACTCCCGCTGCAATATTGTAAAAATAATCACACCTTCATGAAGGGAAAAGACCCTCTGGTCTTCCCTAATCACCTGCTAATTCTTATCACCTCCCACCTCCATTGAACTTCCTGTGACTCTCTCAAAATGATATAGTGATTGCCCCAGCAGTTACCTATTCTACGAGATTAAGCATTTTAAATCTAAGCACTGCACCAATAACATCCTTTAGGATGAAGGATTTATCTTAATGCACAAAGCCCTTTAAGAATATCCCTCATTCAGGCCTCCCTGGTGGTGCAGCGGTTGAGCGCCGGGCTGCAAAGCTGCCTGCAGACTTTGCAGCACCGGTTCAATCCCTAGCCACCGGTAAGGGTCCCACATGGCCTGCAGATCTCTCCTGTCGCCCACTGCTCCCCTCAGCAGTGTATTTCATCAGTCTGCCTGTTCTGCTCCCCGCTCTGGCTCTGGTGAATTCTCTCACCCTCCCACGCTTCTGACTATACCCAGTGCTTGTATAAATAAATAAATCTTTAAAAAAAAAACTTTATCTACACAGCTTTAGCTTATGTGTCATATCTAGCAACAGACACACCCAATGCTAGTTAACAATCACTTGTTCCAAAAAGCTGTGCCTATGTATCCAATCTGATAGCCCCACTTCTGGCTTCACAATCACCCTATGCACCCATAGTATAGAATGCATGCATTATTTTTATTCATGAAATCTTTTAAACTTCCTCTGTACCAGATACTGTCCAACATCCTGTGGTCCAGCCACAAGTAATACATCAGTACCCTGCAAACTCAAAAAGGCAGGAGCAGTTTTCCCTCTCCAGGCTTTATTAGTTCAGGTTTTTCTTGCTCTTTGTGGACTATATAGTTCTTTCCAGGCTACTTTAACAGTAATTTCAGCATCACCTTCTACCTGAACCCCAAAATTCTGGAGTGTCTTCAAGTTGTGACTAGGCAGTCAATGTATTCATCAAAGAAGTTTAACACAGCCTTGACCCCAGAGTTTTCTCAGATGTTCACTGAAGACAATTCCTTGGAAGAGAGTCAGCTGCCTTCAACCTATCTCAGAAAGGTTAATGAAGAACCTTGGTAACTTGACTCTCAATCCTAATACCAAGCTCCCTTGCACTTTACCAAAATGTCCACCCCAAGAGCTGGGACTGGTGGCATCATACACTATAAGAAGAAGGGAGTGAGGATAGTAGTGATTGATAGGAAAGAATTGAGCAACAGGCTGGTAAATATCAGATGTCAATACCTCACCCAATTTTTCTGCATCAAGAAGAAATACAGTGGAAGAAAACAGAGATTGAAAAAGTAAAGAGAAAAAAAAAAATCAATGTGGCTGTCATTATTGCCTGTATCATAGTTTCCTGAGGAGAAAAACCATCATGAATAATAATTATGACACAGGGCCAATTTAGTCATAATCTTACCCTAGCGCTATTATTTCTCAATAGCAATTTTAGGATCTTCACACAGCAACTTAGATAAGCTGTTCTGTATTGTGATGGACTGTGTGCCAATATTTTGATACCTCATCATATAAGTTCTGTGATGTCTTTTTTCTTGTGTCTTTCTTTCTAACTCAATTTAGTAACTTAGAAGGAATCATAGTTTGCATTTGAGTGACTTCATTATTCTTTAATTCCACTTTTTTATTTCACCCACAGAAACACTCACAGATCTTGAGTATTGTCTGTATACTTTAGAAGCCTTAAGTCAGTAAGATGAAACCCACAGGAATTTGAAGCAAAGTAACTTGTTTGGGAGGAATGTAAAGAAAACTATTGGGTGATTTTTATATAGGACAGCAAGAGGCACTAAAACTGGCCAAGGACAGTGCCCAAATAGTTTACAGGTCACTGTCTGAGTTCTTCATCCACGTGCCAATTAATTGCAAGACTACTCAGGTTTAGAGAACAAAAAAAAAAAAATGGAATTTATTTAATAAACCAGAGAAAACAGAGTTACTGAGACTGTAACAGGGTGGTCCCCAGGAAAGGGGGAGGTTCCCTGCCCCACCCAAGGGAGGGTGGAACTGAGCAGAAAGAGGAGAAGCTGCAGAAGAGACTGAGAAAGGAAGCAGGATGGAGCCTAGAGACATGTGAAGAAACTGCGCTTGTTTTTTGGTTGTGGACGAGTGACACAGATGTGGGTGAGACCCATGGGGAGGTGACAATGGCAGCTTTTATCTTGATGTTGATTTTGCTCTTTTCCTTCCGGGCTTGTCCGGTTGTTTGTGACCCTTTGCTGTGGGTCCCCACTGGAAGATGCTTTAGACTTGTGGCAGGCTTTGGGGCCTTGCTCTGGGCCAATCCCATATGGATGGACTTTTACCCATGAGGGGACGGGTAACTTTGGGTGCTTGATTTAGAAACTAGATTATTTGCCTTTCCTGTATTGTTTCCTAGTTGTATTAAAGTTCCTTCCCATTAAAGTCTTCTATGTTTTGTGTTGATGCGGCGGATGGCAGAACCCATTTAGAATAGGCAGGTTTGCGGGGTTTGGGCTGCCCCTCTCCCTGTCCTATAACAAGACCACAAATGGCTGTTACCTTACCCGAAGCAGTGTCCAGTGCTTTAAAGACCTATTCACAAAGCTCCCAAAATGGTATCTTCCCGCTACTGAGGATGTGGCACTCCTATCCCAAACAAAAGGTCGTGCTCCCAAGATGGCATCTTCCCTTTCCTTTCAGGCTATAACAGCAGCGAAGCTGGAAACGCTTTCAGTTGCTTGGCTACTTGCAAAGCCTCTGAACTAAGGTTGGCTGCTGGAAGCCTCTTCATGTCCTTCAGAGGCCCACAATAACCTTCTAATTTCAACTGGAATTCTTGAAGATCCGAAAACGCTGAAATTCTGAATACTGATCCCCTGGAGGCTGCTTCTGCAGTCCCTCATATTTCTTATCAGGGTCTCCACCCACCAATACTTTGCTATTTTGCCTGGAGCTATCAATCCTCCCTTCCAGGGGGCGCCACCTGTACCAGTCTTTGGCTTCAACTGCCTGTTACAATTTGGCTAGAGCATAAATATAGCAGGGTGTTTTAACTAGATTTCCTGGAAAATGGGTCTTTATTTTACAACCTTATCTACGAATGGCGGCTTATCCTTCAGCACCCAGCTCATGTCATTGTATTTATTATGGTACCATGATTCTCCTAGTTAATCTTTAAAATAGATGTTTATTTAATAGATAGGAAAATGGATTCAGTGTAATTTTCCCAAGATTACACAGATCAAAAGCAAGATGGAAACTGTCCTGTCTGATTACAATGAATAAGTAAGTTCAAATAAATAAACAACTCACAGACAAGTAAATACCTTATATAGCCCCACAGTGACCATTTGCTTAAGTAACCATATCACTCTTAAGAGAAATCTGGCCTTAGAAACATTCTTTGAATTTACATTTAAATCTTTCTCTCCTCCAGCAGTCAGATAATGTAAATATGGCCACCAAAAGCAATTAATGACATTTATTGCACCTACAAGAAAAATTCTGAAAATCTCGCTCTCATTTATTTAGATTTTTAATTTTTTAAATATATTCAACTTATATCTAGGGAAACACCTGATTCTGTATATAAAGAAGTATCAAATTATAGAATGTTCAAGCTATATGATTACAGATTAACTGAGCATATTCCACAGCTTCCTCACCACACCACACACACACTCTGACACACACTCGTGCACACCCCATTCATGCCTCATTTAAAAGGTGAGGAAAAATGAAGATATAAAGAGTAATGTGATTTTTTTTGACATTTAGGTACCTAGTTAGTGTCAGAATGGAGACTAGAACTCAGTTCACAAAATTTGCAGCCTAGTACATTTTTACCCAAAAGCAGTGCTCCCCCCATTAAAATTCCATGACTGTGGAGACATTGTTTTAATTTGTTCTTTATGCTTCCCATACTTTTTCATTCTTTATGCTTCCTATATATTTTTTTTCATTTTTCTGCATTATGCATGCCTAAATCTATCATCTCTCTACTTAATCATCAAACATTCACTCTCTAAGTCAATTTCTTGACAACCTAATTTTTTGTTTGTTTATTTAAAGATTGATTTATTTATGCATACAAGAGCTGGGGTGTAGGCCAGAGGTGCGGGGTGATGAGAGGATTCACCAGAGACAGAGTAGGGAGCAGAACAGGCAGATCTACTGATATGCAGTGCTGAGGAGAACAACAGGTGAAACTGGAGATGTCTGCTGCGCCATGTGGGTCACCTCCCTGGCCGGCCAGGGAATTGAATTCATGCTGCAGTGGCTGGCAATAGCTTGATAGCACTGTCTTTAACCCCTGTGCCACCATGGAGGCCCAACAATCTAATTTTTAAAAGATGTTAAGAGGAGCTCTCTTCCACTATACTTCTGGTCCTTCTGCTAACTGCACCAGAGCTATCTCAATGTGATTTAATCAACCTGTGAATCTGAAATGCAAGATAGCAGAAAGGTTATCTCTATTACATTGAGCTAAAGGATGAATGTTTAGTAAACACTTATGAGGTGATGACTCTATAGTTTTATGTCAACAGTCATCTGAATATCTGAAATCTTGTAATTTATTCAACATTTCTTTATCCCCTGTCACTTTTCTTCCAGAGGATGTGTGAACTGTAAATAGAAGTAAAAGGAAAACCAAGTTGAAAATTGATCATTTTTTAGGAGATCACCAACCATTATGAAATGCAAGCAGCAGCAGTAGCCATTTCAACAAGTAGAATGCCTTTCCCCTAGGCTCTCCTTTGCTATCTGAGGCACTGTTCACTTAGTTGCTTAACCACTGAATTTCCAGGAATGAGGAGTTACCAATTTTATGTTGCAGTTTGCCCAAAACTCTGAGTTCTACCATACTCTCTGGGCAAAAACTGAAATCCAAACAGCCACTGAAGTTAGTATCTCTAAAGAAACTGCTTCTTCCTCTAAATCATATGAATTTTCTATATAAAATTATTTTTAAAATATGTAAAATTATCACCTGTAGTCAAATAGACATAGCTAAAATTCACTTAGCCACTCACCATTCATTCAGATCTTAACCAAGAGGTGTTTATAATCATATGTGGCCATTTTTTTTCCTTTACCTTCAGCACAATGACAAGATGAAATCAGAAAAAAAGATGTGGCTGTTATTTATCAGTTAGACACCACGTCTGGTGCTTTTTCTAAAGGCTGCTGCTTTGCCGGCATGCCTTGCAGCTGTGGGCTCAGGTCCTGGAAGCAAGCTTGGCAGGCCTTCTATCTCAGCCACTGCTGAAGAGAATAATAATGTCATCAATTAGCAGTAATGCACTAGGAATCACTGTGGTTTTAGAAAACTGAAATTTTCCTGCCTGTGGGTCTGTCCTATATTCTGGTAGAAACAAATGTTCAACTGACATTTACTAGCTAGAGATTGATGGACAGTGTTTTTTCCCATTCAGAAACATAGGTTTGCTTTCTGGTGCCTAGTTTCTTTCTCACTGGAAATCAGAATGTTACTTATGAGCTGTCAAATTAGTTGACACATAATGGGCATAAAATAAATATTTGTGGAGTAAATTTGTTAATAGTAGTGATCATTTACTGAATTCAAGCCAGATGTGCTAGCTATTATAGCATTATCATTTTGATTTTACATATGAGAAACTTAAAGGCAAGAAAGTTACAGAGGTAGAATTCAGAGCCTGAGCTTTTTTCTGCAATATCACCCTGCCTTTCCTAGGGACGTTATGATAAATACCAAAATTAAAAACATATATTAAGGGCCTCCCCTAGTGGCGCAGCGGTTGAGCACTGGGTTGCGAGGTTGCCCGCAGCCTCTGCAGCACCAGTTCTATCCCCGGCCACCAGCGAGGGTCCCACAAAAACAAAACAACAACAAAAAAAACAAACACATATATTAAAATTAAATAAAAATATAAATAAAAAATTAAAAACACGTGTAAGAACACACAGGAATGTAGAGTAAAAAGGCAAACTTGAGCATTGTCTTAGTTCCACTTGAATTCCTGAATGATAATTTTGCTTTGCCCGCTGAGTCTCAGATTCCTTATTTGTAAAATAAAGCTAAGAGTAAGGTCTATTTCATAACTATGTTGTGAGTTACTAAATTAGATAGGTAATTTGTGTAATGTACTTAGCACAGTGCCTGGCAAAATAAACCCAGCATTCACTATTAGCTATGAGTACACCACAATCTAGGTCTTTCCATAGCAATTTGCTTAGTTGCCAATAGACTGACCTATTTCTTCTTAGATAACCAAACAGTAGTATGCATGTATTGGCTGGTAAGACAACCTCCATTGTTATTTTTAAAAAAGTGAAAAAAAAAAAAAGGCAGAAATTTCCAAAATCATGGGCTAAGACACATTCAGGAGAATTAGTAACTCCCAAGTCTTTCTCTACTTCCTAAATCCTCCACTGATTCCTACTATTAGCTACAGGATCATAGCTGCATATTTTACTTCCACCAAAAAATAGACAAAACACTTTGCCTTAGTTCCACAACACAGTTGAAATATATCCACATTTACAAAAGAAACTTTATCTAAGTACTGAAAGAAAACAAAAAGCAAAGTAAATATAAATGATATAACTTATGAGTGTGGTTTTATTAATTTACTTTGTCAATATGCTTTTTACTCTCCTTTTGTAATTGTTTTATAGTTTGTATTGAGTACGTACTTTTGTAGAGTATTTTAAATGCTTAGTGGGAAAAACAGGGTAGTTATAAAAGAAAGAAGATGGAAGGAAGAAAAGGGAAGTAAGGAAAATGAGGAAGGGAGAACAAGATAGGAAGAGAGAACAAGGTAGGAAAGGAGGGAAGTAGAGATGGAAAGAGGCATTCAAGAAATAGTTGTTAAATTGAGTTGAACGGAACTGAAAAATTCATATCCTTTTCTCAATTTTTACATTTTGAATGACAGAATCTCACAGCTAAATTGACATAACTAGATTTTCCACCACCTAATTCTAGCCATGACTTTATTAGTAATCTAGTTGGATATACATATTGGTCATTAATTTGAGTTACCTTTGAAGAGCTCAAATGCATTATGACTTGAACTTAACAAACCATCATATTGATTTTTATAGGGATTCAAGGACATTTCTCTTGAGAGATTTATACATGGTGGGGCCAATGTGACAGGATTCCAGTTGGTAGACTTTAATACACCTATGGTAACCAAGCTTATGGATCGCTGGAAGAAACTAGATCAGAGGGAGTATCCAGGATCTGAGACTCCACCAAAGGTATTTGCTATTATCTTTTATAATTTTTAGTGTTTTCTAAATTGAAGATAGAAAGTTCATTATGCAATTTCTTCTATTAATATTTTGTCAAATGTAGTGAGTCTTAAGAAAGATGCTGTCACTGTGCTCAGTAAGTCCTTAATAATTTATTGATTTCTGTTTAAGAGTAGAGTTGTTCATTATTACTATTACTACTACTTTGCAGGTGGATTTCCATGAAGAAACTATGTTTTTTAAAAGTTTTGTTAACTAAATACTTTAAATGTGAGCAACTGTTGGCAACTATTCCACTCAGATTAAAAACTAATATTTGTACAGTGATTTATATTGGATAAATTGGGAGATTGATAGAAATGTGAAATGTGCAAGCTTCTGCAAAATTTCTCTTTCAAATTAATAGTGTAAGTCAGGTTGTTTAGTTTTTTCCTGACTGATGTCACAGAAGTATGTTACTAGTTTCTGCAAAAGAAGCTAGGAAATATATGATCAAAAGTACATTTTTTTCTCACTTGAGAAGATAGATTATTTTCTTAGATATCATGTAAATGACAGCATAAGAAATTTAGTAGTTTTGAGTGCCTATATAATAAAGCATCATCGTTTTTAACAATTTTTGCTAATCTCTCACTAACAGTGTATTCTAGTAAAACATTGCCAAATATAATAGCCAAATATAATTTGGAATTTCAAACTTAGAAAACTAAAATATAGAGAAAGGAGGTCTCAGCTCTTCCATTTCCTAATTGTAAAATTTTCCCTATTGGCTGTATTGATTTAACCCTCTAATTTTACAGATTAATAAATGTAAAACATTAAATGTGTGTAGATTGGCTGTCCCTAAGTCAGGGAGCAGGTCCATGAAATGCCTGGGACAGAAGCATAAGTCTTGGACAAGCACATTGTCCACTCATTCTATTCTGTTGCTCTCACACTTAGATGATATAAATGAAAGCATAAAAAGTTTTAAGTTATAAATCATCTTCAGGACTAAAGGAAGCTTCAGAAGTCTTTCAGTCTGCCTTTTGCCTGAAAACCAGTCCAGAGATATATCATTCCCAAAGTTCAGTTATATCAAGTGTTAATACACAAAAAGAAAATCGCAAAGCTTCCTTATGAACTCCTTTCTGATCTGCATTGTGTGCTGTACAATATGTTCCCCTCACTCTGTCATTGGTGCATGCAGATTTCCTTGTCCCCTTCCTTAAGAAAAACTATCTCATTTCTTCCTTCCTCACATCTTCTGTTGTCCAACCATTATTTATCTCACCTTTTGTCTATAAACCATCTCTTTAAGATCTTCTAACCCTGGGAGCTTTAGTATCTAAAACAGACTTCAAACTTCTCAACAGTGTGGTGTGGCTCCTTGGTTTAAAAAAAAAAAAAAAAAAAAAAAAACCTCAGTCCATCATTCATCATTGGTCAAGCAGTCAATAATTGAGGCCAAGATCTGGTTTTTACCCTGCCCTAGAAGAAGGTGTTTATTTATATCAGTTCTCTAGATGCCATATTGAAGTTTGAGTTCCTAAGTGTTTCTTGAACTTTAGCAATATAAAAGATATGGAAAAGAATTGCATCCCTTGAAAAGGTGAGGCCAGTTAAACTACTGCTTCGTTCCACTCTCAGCACAATGAATGCCAGTGGCTTTGCCACTTGTCTCCTTTGATCTGCTCCACTGTGTAGTGTCTATTCTTTTTTCTAGTTTGTTTGTTTTCTATATAATGGGTGGCCTTTTAAAATACAGCAAGTGTGTTTCCTCACTTTTTGGTGCCATCTCTTCTCAGTTTTTTTACCCCCTATTGGAAAAGCAACAATATTTTTCTTTTGTTCTCCCTAGATCTTAAAACACATTTTCCCTGGCTCTTCATATCTTTAGTAAGTGCCAGTTGATTCTTGTGTTTATTTTCTTGTCTTACAAAAATGATTTGTTGGCTTCCTCTACTCAGCGATGGCTTGATCCAGAGAGGAGAGGAGGTACATTGGTTTAGCACCTCTGTAACCTTAATTTCCTTCAGCCACCACTTCTGAGGGTGTGTAGCTATTCTTCAGTCTATTCTATCATGTCCTTGAAGAATATATATATAGCAAGACCTCTAATTTACTTAACTCCTAAGGCTTTCTGACAAAGGCTTTTCATTTAGCTCCTCAACCATTGAAATGTTCTTGTTAGAATTTAGAATCTTTATCTTACCCATTTTTTGGTATTTCTCTTTCCTGGAATGCTGGCTGCTATGTATAATGGTAATAGCATTATAATGGTTGTCTAAGTTTACTCTCTAGAATGCAAATTTCAAGCAATTTTCTTCATTTACCAGCGGCAAATAAGGCGATCATCCTCCGCACTCCACAGCACAAAACTGTTCCTAATATAGGCCAAATGCATTAATCATGTAGAATTCATCATAAGGGATTCCTGAAAGAGATAGTGTAGTGTGTTTTTACCCACGATTAATAGATGTGGCTCTGCCATGTGTCAAGAAAATTGTGCCATATTTTTCAAGTGTTTAGGAATTCTCTAATCAAACTCTACCAAAAGTTTTCTCTTACTCTTTGCATTTTGCACTTAAAGAAATTACCCTTTTCTCTTAGTTTTCCATATTTCTTCTCTAAACCTTAGTCACCTTTTCCTGAGGTTATCTTTTCTCAAAAAGAAGCAGAGGCTGGTCACCAGAAAGTAGATGGTATACACTTCCTTTCTCTTCTTCTTTGTGATCCTAGGTTAAGTGGAAATGTACACAAATTACTTAACCTTCCTGTGCGCACTCACAGCATACTATTTCCAAAAAATAAAAACAATCACACTCATTCTTCTGAAGTACTGAAAAAAGCCACACATTTCAAGTCAATAACCATAGATGAAGTCTCAGAGAGGAAGCACCTCTAGGCACTACTAAGCATTGTGAAGGAGGAAAGAGTAAAACATTCCCGCCCTGCTGGGATTCCACCATCGAGGCAGATGGCAGCATTACTGCACTTAGCTCTCCACACATTAGTTGCTTCTATTTGGACAACAAAAACACCTCACATAGAGGGCTTGCTTCTCCCAACTGATGGGAAACTTCACATTTGAATTTCTATTTTTCAAGGTGTGTTTTCTCTTTTTAAATCAGAGTGTAAGATTTGATATACAGTTTTCCAGTCAGTGATAACAGAAATTTTTAAAACGAGTCTATTAATTTAGCTGACTTTCTGAGTGGCTAATGCTTTGTCATAAACCCATAGAGCTCCCAGACTATTCAAGTGAATGATAAGATTTTAACATTTACAATTATAATCCCCTTCATTTTGTTAGTACACATCTGCTTTGACTTATGATGGAGTCCTTGTGATGGCTGAAACATTCCGAAATCTTAGAAGGCAGAAAATTGATATTTCAAGGAGAGGAAATGCTGGAGATTGTCTGGCAAATCCTGCTGCTCCATGGGGACAGGGAATTGACATGGAGAGGACACTCAAACAGGTAACTCACAAATTTATGCAAGCACAATTTATTTCACCATCTTGTTCAAGAAAAAATAAGAGAATAAATGCATCTTGCAAATTGCATTTTAAGATATCAAGCCAATATAATTTTTGAGATATTTCTAAATAGGATACTGGGTAGAATACTGGTGTGTTTGTATATTATGTAGATGCATAGTCAGGATGAACTAGGTTATGCCACAGTAATGAGCAACCCCAAGTCCTGTGGCTTAAAACAATGAAGGAGTATTTTTCCCTCACATACACTGGACTAGGAGGCGCACTCTGCTCTTGTGACCAGGGACCCAAGCTAACAGAACAGCTACCATCCTAGTCCTACCAAGGGAAATAGAGTGACAGGGAAGTTTGAAACTGCCTGGTAATGTTCAGACCTGCAAGTGACACTCATCACATCTGTTCTCAACACATCTGTCAGAAAGAGTCACATAGGCATCACAAGACACAAGGTTTTTGGGAAGTGCAAGCCTACCTTGGTCCAGAATAGCCAAGAGCCAGAAATATTCGGCAAACACTACTAATGATAATTTTAGTAGATATTGCCCTGTAACCTTGGAGTAAGTAATTTGTCTACTTTAGTCTTTTAAAGTGCTTTGGAATGCAATGGGTTAAAAATTAAAAGGAAATTTGGAATAAAGTACATTTGAATATTTTCAAATATATATATTTTTGAACTTCTTATATCTTAATTTTAATATCAGCAAGGAGAAAATACCTATGAAGTTTACATGGTTATTTAGTTCATCAAGTAGATATAGACAAAACTTAAAAGTATCTATAAACAGACCGTATTTCCATTCCTATAAAAATACTTCAATTTGGAGGAAATATTCTGTTAGCTGCAATGGGAACTTTACCATATATGTATACATATTATATAGATATATATATACACGAAATGTATATATTCATTTTCTAGGTGTATAGCAGAATGGCTTTTATATTCCTTTGATATTCCTGCTTATCCCTCGAGCATAAATAACCATTGATTCTCAGTGAGTTGCTTATACTTAATAGTTGCTTATACTTCAGCCTAGCAGATGAAGTGGAGATTTCTATCAGTGAAATGGAAAATGAGCGTGTGTATTGGTTATCTTTTTCTTTCATAGGTTCGAATTCAAGGACTCACAGGAAATGTTCAGTTTGACCACTATGGACGTAGGGTCAATTATACCATGGATGTGTTTGAGTTAAAGAGCACAGGACCTAGAAAGGTGAGTTGCGCAAACTGTTTTCTTAATTTGCATTTGACATTTTGAAGCCGTATAGGTGAAAGATAGCTGTATATTCTACATTATTTTTAAATTTGTTTGATAATCTGTGTGAAATAATCTGATGTGTCATATTGTTATAGAGCAGCCCCGATTTTTGAACGGGTTCCTGGCTGTGGGTCTTCACCCGCGCACTTAAAAGGGACTTAATACTCCACTACAGACACACACAAAAGGTTAATAAAAGGTTTATTTACAAGGGAAAAGGAAATAAGGGAAATGTACAGCCCAGGGAGAAAATAGGGAAATAAAGTCTTTAATGTGTCCTACCCGATCCGCCGACCTGGAAACCCAAAGGCACTCTCAGAGCTGGCAGGACGCTGCGAGCTGGCAGAGAGCCAAAATGGGGGGCTCCCAAAGCCCACGTGTCTGCCTTTATATCAACCTGGTTGCTTAACCCCACCCTCAGGTCCCAGCCACCTTCCCTTTGGTGGTGATGGGATTGGAGTTCCCAGTGTCTTTGGCTTTGGCCTGTGGTGGGGGTGGAGTCCACAAAGCCTGTATGGAATTAGCTTTAGGACATCCTTTTCCCCCTAACAATATAATTCACAATCAGTGGTGTGCCAAAGCTGAAATAAACTAACTCTTGCACTGTTCATATCCTTTTTCCAAAATGGAAGCAATATTTCTTTAAAGGCTTGGCAAAAACAAAATTTACTCTTCAGGAAAGCACAGAATGCAAGTAAGAGACATACTAACTTCCATGTAGTTATTTATGAAATCATTTAAGAGAGAATAAAGAAGACAACTTCTATGGGTAGGCATATTTAGGACAAGGTGGATATTCATGAAGTAATCCTATGGGCATTCAAATAAGCAAAGGAGTAAACAGGTGGAAGATTAGAGAATTAAGGTTGTTATTAGGCAGAGGAGGGAGAAAAACACATAAGACTCTCCATTAAGTTAAGCCAGGGAGGTTGTTCAGGAGGCTACAGGTGCCAGATAGTTGGGATCTGGAAGGTAACTCGTCTTAAGATGTAACTAGGTAGGGCCTCCCTGGTGGCACAAAGGGTTAAGCACAGCACTATGAAGCAATCTGCAGCCTCTGCAGTGAGGGTTCAATCCCTGGCCAGCCAGAAGGAAACCCACATGGCAGAGCAGACCTCTCCTGTCTCACCCGCTGCTCCCCTCAGCAGTGTATTTCAGTCAGTCTGTCTGTTCTGTTCCCCACTCTGTCTCTGATGAATCCTCTCACACCCCTGCAATCTCTGGCCTGTACCCCAGTTTTTGTATGCATAAATAAATAAATCTTTTAAAAAAATGTAACTAGGTAGATTAGCATACCAACATCCAAAAAGTACTCTATTTATAATGGGACCATACAATCTTACCATAGTAATTGGTTATAAACATTATCACAAACTCATTTTTTTTTCAACATTCATTTTTCTAGGATAAGGTAGGAGGCTCAAGGAAAGAGGTGGTCAAGTTATCTAAAAACTCTGTTTTGACCCTTGATTTCATCTACAGAAACTTTCCCAAATATACTTTCTTGTGTTGATGTAGTAGTGATACCTAAAATTATGAAATGTCTGCTCTGTTCTAAGCACTGGACATGTATAATTCAGTTCTCACAACAGAAGTATAATATGAGCACTATTATCTCCCCTTTTCACATAAAAAAATTATGGTGTCCACTAACTTGTTATTATTTATCCAATGTTTGTAAGTGAAACAAAGATTTTAATTCAGATGTGTCTGACTCCAGAGCCTTTCTATAGCATTTGCCACGTGAGGAGACCCTGCTCTGAAAGAGCTTATTTTCTAATAGGGCAGAATGCAGTAAGTTCATATAACAGTTAAGGAGACAGTGAAAGTTGCATGTAGATGTTCTAAAGAGGTTTCTTCCAACTGGAGGAAAACAAATCTAGGAAAGCTTCCAGGAGGAGGTGGTATTTAAATTTTGCCTTGAAGTTAAAATTTGAGTGGACAGAAATGGAAAGGGCAAGAACTTGGAGGCAGGACTGTTAATACTATATATGGAAAATGGCAGACTTCCTGAGTTGTGCTTTTCTCTGGTCTCTCATGGAATATGCTCCTGGATATGCAGGAGGAGAGATTTGGAGCTTACATGAAAACCATTTCTAGTTTTTCTGCCTCTTGGTGGTATCTCCTCAAGTGCAGCCTCCAGGCTAAACTGGAGCCTCGCCTGACCTACATAAGGTCAAAAAGAGATGGATGACAGCAGGGAAACCACACTGTATTGTTGCAGAAATAAATTCTAGCCTTTTATCCAGGCAGGGGAAGAATAAGCAGTATTTCAGGAATGGTGAAGTCTGGAGGAGCTTTATTATTCATGCATGAGGTCCCAGACCTGGCTAGCCCCTTAAGGTGTGAGCACCAGTCTAGGGACAAAGGGTTTCTTTTATACATAACTAGATTACATTGATAACATTGGTCAGTAAGCACAAAAGTTTGTGACAAAAGACAGGTATTCAAAGATGCCCTGGGAGATCAATCAACCTGGAGGCTGTATGGCCCTGTTAAAATGTGACCTCCTTTAGGTAATCTCATCTAGATCAGCTTTAGAGAGGCAAAACTTGTTGTTTACATTTACTTTGCATTATTAACTGCACCTAACCTGTGACTCTTTTAGCAGGAAACAGGAAAGATTTCATTTGATTAGCGGTTCCCTTTCAGTATGAGGGGCTCTGGTAGGGACACTACCCACACAAAGGAATAAGGCATGCTCCCCGGAAGAAATCTAGGGGGCTCCATGTAAGCACCATTTTTACTCACTCTGCCTGCACACAGCCAGTAAGAATGACCTATTTTAATCAAGTTCCCTCTGCTATCAGTAGACAGAATACTCTACAGACCTCCTAAAAATCTGGTAACTGGTGGACAGAGGTAAAACTTCCCTGCCACAAACCAGAGCTTGTAAAATCAGCCATGTACACATATGTTTTCTAAAATGCAGAAGACAGTTTCAGATTTCACAAAACATTAAGTACAAAGAGTAAAATGGCTTGTCTATAATAGAAAGAATAATGGAAAAAGGAAACTGGTTATAGCTAGTGGCGGTAACAGGTGGGCTATTTATAGTACTGAGTCTCTTCATGACCTAATGAACCACGATGGTAACAAAAAGTATGGGTTTTTGAGGGGAGAGTTAAAGAGTAAGTCGAGAACTTGATAAACAGTATGTCTTCATATTCATCTGACACCCATCTAAGGCTGTAAAAGAAATATGAAGTGTGAAACAGTGTATACTCATCTATCTTCATTTTTCCAAGGCAGTGATCAGCTTTGGCATTCTGGCAGGAATACGAAACTTAAAAATGAGACACCATGAGAAGCACACACTGCTGAAAGTAGGCAATATGTCTGAAAGGCAAACCATCCTTCTTGTAAATAGAGCACTTGCCAGCAAGGGAGCAGTCTTTGAAAATAGATCAGAGAGTCAGCCCATCAGTTTGTCTGACTTCTACAAGAGGAAAACTGATTGAGTGTCTCATTAAGCAGAGCCCATAAGGCTCTTTCTGAAGCCCCATCTCCTAAAGATGGTGGAATCTTCTTATCATTCCAGTAACCCTCAGGGACACCAATAGGCACACTCCAGCACCGGAACTGCAAGGTTTCAGGAATTTTTAATTGTAAAAATTATGTTTATTGAAAGCAGGCTATATGTTAGACACAATAGTGGAAAATTTAAGTGCATTTTTATAATCAATGCACACAACAATCTGACAATAAGATTTATATATCTCATTTTATAGAAAAGTAAGGCCTCAAAGAAACTAAGTAACCTGCTGTTGGGGAGAGTTTCAGATCTCAAAGATGCTGGCTTCCACCAAAGAGAAGAGGTTTCGCTCACAATCAGGCTACTCATATAATCACAATATAATTGTGATTTTATTGGGGGAAATTCACATGGCAACAATATAAGCGTACAATTCAATTGACAGTAAAAGAGGAAAGGATAGGTACTGCGAGGGAAGGTTCAGAAGATGAGTATGAGAGAGATGGTGTCTGGAACCTGGAACTCTCTTTGGAACAGTGGACCTGCTTCCCCTTTAAAACCTTCAGTGACAGATGCATAATCTGAGAAGGCTTTGGAGATCTCACCTACAAAGTGTCTCAGATTGGCTTAATTCAGCTCTTGTCTATATCCTGCTTACAGAGGCTTGGCCCCTAGGCAGAGCCAGACTTTTATCCTTCCTTGCCTCCTGTGTCTCTTTATCAATGCCCTGAAACTGCTTTTTAACTAGTTAAGTCTTTCCCACCTCTCCCTCAGCCTGGATCAATACAATGCCAATACATATATCTCCTGTTTAGAGGTGTTCATCTAGAAAGAGGTGGGCTGTGATGAAAAGCAAGGCGCCTCACCTAACTCCAGGGCTCACTTTTGACTCTGAGAAAAGATTATCAGTTCCAAGTCCCATAAGGGTTCTTTTTAGTGCTGGTATGAACAATAAGCCAACTTTTCAGTTCTGCTCTCCAAGGTACCAACTTTGAGTGCAACAGGGGCAATCTGTGCATTTCAAGCAGAGTCCACCATTAATAGAGATGATTATTCATGTGCCAAATGATAGTTATGTTTGCACACTATTCACCTGGAGAAATCCAAACAAACAAGTAAATGCTTTCATAGTTTTGCTCTAGCACTACAAAATTTCTTTCATCCAATTTCAATCTCTAGGAATATACCTAGTTTTTTGTCTGAGTAAATGAGATCAGAGGGAAGAGTTGTTAGTAAACTGTAAAATGTGAAGAACTAACGAGAGAAACTCCATTTCATGTGAGGGACAAGGGCCAATATTTAAGATTACTTTCTTTAGAAAGTTGTCCCCTCTGTCACTGTCCGTCCCGTCAGGGCCTACTTTCCAATAAATTCATGGCTCATGTGAGATCTATCACTGATCTATCATAGTCATTGTTTTGGGGAATAGATAGTGATAAACTCACATGTTGTTTTTAAATGCAAAATGTCAGTCTTGACAACATCTGAGAACTCTCCAGGATATGTCCCAGCTCTGTGGTTTATCTGTTATGGGAAGTCATAAATAAGGAAAAATTGCCTTTCCTGGAGATTAGGCTGCTGAGATCTGTAGTGTGGGTGCATTTTAATGGAATGCTAAACTGGAAAACCTGTTTTCTTGTCATGTAGCTGCCATGTGGAAAGGAGAATTAAATACAGGAAACAAGTGACATGGTAGTTTGTTTTTTTTTTTAAAGATTTATTTTTATTTATTTATACAAGCACTGGGTACAGTCAGAAGTGCGGGAGGGTGAGAGAATTCACCAGAGCCAGAGCGGGGAGCAGAGCAGGCAGGAGGACCGAAGTACACTGCTGAGGGGAGCAGCGGGCGGCAGGAAAGGTCTGCGTGGCATGTGGGACCCTCCTCCAGTGGCTGGGGAACAGCCAGGGATCGAACCGGCGCTGCAGAGGCTGCGGGCAGCTTCGCAACCCAGCGCTCAACCACTGCGCCACCAGGGAGGCCCGACATGGTAGTTTTTTAAAGTATATGTAGGATTGAGGGGAGGATGCGGCTCAAAGGCATACTTGTCTTTAAATGAAATTTTTCACTGATTTTTTTAAAAGATTTATTTATTTATGCATACAAGAACTGAGGTATAGACTGGGGTGCGGGGTGGTGAAAGCATTCCCAGAGACAGAGTTGGAAGCAGAACAGACAGATCTACTGAAATACACTGCTGAGTGGAGCAGCGGGCGAGACAGGAGAGGTCTGCTGTGCCCTGTGGGTTAGCTCTCTGGCCAGGGATCAAATTCGTGCTGCAGTGACTGCCGAAGGTTGATAATGCTTTGTCCTCAACCCCACTGCCACCAGAGAGGACTCTTTACTGAATTATTAAATAGCTATAAGTAGATTCTCATGGACAATTGAAAATAATTGCTGAGTTGATACTCATAATTTCAGATCAAACCAGTATAGTGAGTTAAATTAATGAAAATAATTTTCCTCATCTGTTATCGAATTAGATATGCAACATTTGTAAATAATACAGTGCTTCTTTCTGATATGTTAATACTTACTTTATTTCAGTATGTTCACAAATATTAATATAATAGTGAAGAAACTTGGAGGGAGTAAAAAGGACTTCCAAAACAAATTACAACAAGTAGTGAATACCTAACAGAGAGCAATTACACATGTTGTGGGTTTGCTTGTTTGTTTTTCACAAACACATTTTGGCAATTACATCCAGAAACTCAAGAAAGAAGTTTGGCAAGTTTTACATCAACAACTATTTGGGAAGCTGTGTAACATAACAGTAACGTAAATAGACTTGCTGTCGTATGGACATGAGTTTTGAGTACTGGCCCCACTAAAGTATAACCTTGCATAATTTATTTAACTTCTTAATGTGAGTACTCAATTCTCAATTAAGCAAGATAATAGTACCTACCTCTGTGTATAAACCAAAGTGCACGAAAAAACATCACATATTGTGTTTGCCACAGAGACAGCAGTCAATGGTAATAGTAGTCATTACTATCACTTAATGGTCTGCATAGACAAAGAAACTAAGGGACAAAGGACCTCCTTGGACTTTACTACTTTGTAAATAGCTTAACCAATTACTTAATATCTTTTATGGAACAGTGTTTTGTTGTTTTTTCTAAATGAGAATGTAATGTGAGGTTTTCAAAATAAAAACACAAATTTAAATGTTTGAAAGGGAAAATATCATTCATTAATACTCATCTCTGATGCATTTAGCCTTTTGGAAATGGTAAGATTGGTACCTAGTGGTTAATCCAAAAATGATTTCGATATTCCTTTACAAGTCTTGGTTATTTGAAAATAGCTCTTCCATATCCCTTTTGTAAATCTCCCTCCTCATTTTACCCTATGACCTGTAAAGTTACTGAAAAAATCACATAAAGAAATTTAAGAGGATGCCAGTCAGTCCATCAGGAGAAAGAATCAAAGAACCAACATAAATGATATTCTATATGTATTTATATTCACTTTTAAATGACACATTCCCGATGTCTTTTGACTGCTCTGTGATCGTAAATTGTATAATTGCCATATGTGTAACCAGGCAGTATGGTAAATATAAGGAAAACTGGCTCATCCTCAATTAAGAGAATTTCCAGACACTTTTATATCCCTCTTTGTTCCAATAAGAACTATAGGAAATGCTTCTAAAACGTGTTTTCAATGATTTTCTCTGTTTGTAGGTTGGTTATTGGAATGACATGGATAAATTGGTTCTGATTCAAGATGTACCCACTCTTGGCAATGACACAGCAGCTATTGAGAATAGAACAGTGGTTGTAACCACAATTATGGTAAGTTTTGGTCTATGCTTTATGTTTTTCCGTTTTGTTCACAGGCAATTTTAATTCCCCAGCTAGGTGACTGGGAGGTAATATCCTCCACTTAGCATGGTGATGTGTGTGTTGTGGAGGCTTTGAATAGGTTTGTCCTGAATGCTTCTATTTGTATTATTTTTGTTGCCTTGTTTTCTTGGAAAAATGTTCAGATTGGAAAAATAGAGACTGTCATATTCTAGTTGTATGAAATGTATGAAATGCTAAGACTCTGAAGGATAAAATGGTGAACATGAAAAAATTCGACAACCAATCTCATAAAAATATCTAGTAGTAAACCCCATACTATTATTGTTCTGCTTTTTAAAACATCAATGTAATAATGTTTAAAATTATAATTTTCAGGTAGTTTAATCACTGGATAATTATTTTGTATTGTCTGTCCATAATAGTGAAGCTATGAATGTGAAGAATTTAATGAGCATGTTTTATGCAACTGAACGCTTTAGAAAGGAACTTTTAAATCTATATTTAATGAGAAAAGGGTTTTGTGCACCGATTGTTTTTCTCTCTGACCAGTGACAAATACATAATGTATTTTATTGGATTTCTCCTAAGAACTAAGAAAAATCTGATTGCTTTTTTCAGTCACATCACAAAATGAAAAATACTCTAAATTTTAGTGCTGCTTTTCCAAAGAGATTCTCATAAAATTGCCTTTCAAATGATAGGATACCTTATATATTTTTCTCTTGTAAAGTCAAACATGCCCTTTAGAGTTAATTCTAGTCAAGGAGATCAACAATCGGTGACCTTTTCTATCTAATTTAAAGTTATTTATCCTCAGCTCACTGTCTCATTAGGCAGAACATATTTTTAATTATTTATGATGCCCTTACTCTAAATAAAATGGAAGTATTTTATGTAACTGAGTTTTTAGCTTGTGTAATTTTAGTTTTTAGGTTTTTGGTAATGTCAAATTATTCTCAAAATTAACATTAAAATCAAAGTATGAAAATGCCAGAGCGAAACTTCCATATATTGCAATTCATTTTATCTGTGTTGCATCACCAGCTAGCAATTTAATGTTAATCTGCCAAACCTTGATCAGAACTTTATGATTTTAGAATGCAAACCAGCCAACAGCAGTTCTATGTAAGAATGAAAATATACATACCTTCCAACTTAATTTTGTAATATTTGCATGGGACTTGAAAAGCAATATATATATTTCTTTTCCTAAAAAAGACACAGTAATGGAAAGTCATACTTCAGTACAGTCCTCCTCTTTTCAGCCTCTGATGAAGAATCCTATTTTAAGAAATTGATCAAGAAAGAAATGAGTTCCACGCGGTTCGACCATTCCTAACTAAGGCGCGAGTCTCGTTCTACGGGGTAGTAAATTTAAGCTAATTTTTGATGTGGGATTCTTCCTGGATCACCAAACTCTGGACTACCAGAAAAAAAATTTTAAGTTCTGTGACTTTTCTGAGATATTAGAACAAAGAAGAAATAAACCTCATCTTTCTCAAAATAAATACTTGTTGAAAAAGAATCACTTAGTGATTCTTACATTAACTCCCGTATCTTGAAATGAGGTCATTGTACATAAATGATGAAATTATATATCACTCTTAATTATAAGGATAGATTTTCTAGAAGTAATATCCATGAATTTGTGTGTTTGATTTCTGATATAAACAGTTGTTTTCTTTAAAGTTTATTTTTCCAAATTTTGCCTGTTCACTGTGAAATAAAGTGTTTTAATGTACATTATAGATAGTATGTATAGACTCTCCTTTCCACCCCTGTAATTAAAGGGGTTGGAGATATAACTCTTAAAACCAAAATGCTGAATAAATTTTGCAAGCATGTCTAGTTTTCAGGGAGCATGCTATCAAAAAAAAATAAGTTAAAATGATGGAAAAATCCAACTGTTTCCTAGATAAAGAATATTCTGTAATGTTATCTGTTGTTTGATGGTGATATCATCAATATTTTGCTATCAACATAGTGTATTACTAGTATCTGTCCTTTGTATGAATATGTTATCTTCAGATAAATAATACCTCTGTTTCTTTGCAACTGCATAATCATTCAATAATTCAAAAAGATAAACTAGAAACCTTTCTCTGAAATTGTTCTTTGTATTTGCTTTTTTTGAAAATGGTAACCTGGGACCTATGGCATCTCCACCATCTCATTCATTCTGAGAAAACCTTGATTCCTTTCAATGAATGAGACATTTGCACCTGTGTGTAATAATCCCCAAATTTAATTGAAAACTCCTCACACAGATGGAACTGACTAGACATTGTTACCATGTGCAAGATAGACATCTACATAACAGAAGGCTGAGTGTTGCAGCCCTGAAGTCATTCATTCTGATTGAAATTGATATGGCCTTGCTTGTTTCCCCATTTGTCTTTCCTTTGTGTATGTTGTTATTTATATGTTGATACACTGTAATGATATATGCTATTATTAAATAAAATTGATTGAGAAATTCATTTATTCATTCATAAATATTTATTAAGCGTCTGCTATCTGCTAGGCACAGATATAAGCCCTGGGGATATGTCAGAGAACAAAACAGACAAAAATCCTGCACTCAATCAAACTTAGATTCTAGTGAGAGAAACAGACAAGAAACATAATAAGTGTAGATGTAGCTATCATTCTTAAATAAAATGTGACTAACTTTGCACTATTGAAATTTATTTTTCTTATAATAGTGTTTTGTCTACCTATAATTCAATCTTCATCTTAGTAACAGATTTATTCTATTTGAATATAGTCATGCTAAATTTAACTTAGCTGAATCTAAATAAAAAGTAGAATTGACAATATCATCACCACAGGACTGTAGTCACGACTACAAAATTGAAAGGTCTAATGTTTTAGATTCATATACTCATCATTTTTCATCTTTGAAGTCTAGTGGCTTTATAAAATCTATAAAATTTATAAGAGTGATCATGGCAATTTAATTTTTTGCCTTCAAAATACTAGTTTTCTTAAACAACCTAAGGAAGCCACATCTGTGCCATGTGGTTTGAAAAAGTGAAACAGTTGAAGAAAAGGTAGTTTGCTATAGACCTTAGGTAGAAGTGAAGGTGTTGTTTTCCTTTGTAAACTCGCTAGATTCTTTGCTGAACGCTCTGGGAAAAGTGATAATGCAGTGATTTTCAGTCAAGTCATTTTGTCAAATACTTACTAAAGAAGTTACATGATGCTAATGTTTCACTACTCAACTAAGAAACTATTTCTTACCATCCTGTACACATAACAATCCTTGAAAAAATTTTTCTGTAAATCCATATTTTCCTGGTACAATGTCAGAATTATGTTACAAACTTAAAACCAATTGTACTTACTACTTACCACACTTGATCTTTCCCAAGGTTACTTTTATAACTTTCTATGAGATGTTTGATATTTTATCTTCTCTATATAGCATTTGTAGATGTACAATGCATAATTTGTGCATATACAATGACATACATATCCATATATATGTAACATGTATAATGTATATGTAAATATATAGAGAGAAAATGAAGATATATTTATTTTCTTCCTTCAACCAAATATTAAATCCTTCCAGTCATAGATCTCCTCCAAAGGGCTGATAACTCCATTAATTCTTAAATAAGTTATTTGGAATAAATTAATATCACACTGTTATTAAACTTACTATTTTTTTCTGAATCAATAACATTTTAATTTGTACTTTAAAGAATTTTATCCATGGAATAAATTATCTACAAACATTAAGATTCACTGAAGTAAAGCTAATATCTATATAACAAATAACTTTGGTTGATACTACTTACTTTATTTTTTTCTCAACTGTAATTTTAATAATTATGTTTGTGATATTTGGAAATCTTAAAGTCTAACAAGTATCTTGTTTTAACAGCTTCATTTTCCTAAATGTGAATAATCCAAAAAAAGTTTTCTCAGCAGAAAAACTATACTTTATTGATTGAAAATCATCTTAATTCATTCACACTACAATTTCATAAGGAAGCCTCCATGTATTTTTTTCCTAAATAGTGCAGCAGATATAGAACCTATATGTAGAAACACTTGGTCTTTTCTTTGCTTCTAGTGGCCTCAAAAAAATAAACAAAACTGTTAAATCTGCCCGAGTGCACAGTGTTTGAGGAATTCCCTATGAACAAATTATCAGGTTGAAGATGGGGCAAATGAGGAAGATGAAGAGTTGAGGACTCACTACTCATTTGTATTTGACCTGAAAGGAAAACAAAGAAAGAAGCACTCAGGTAGAAGTGAGCAACCATGATGCTTTGATGCTCCACCTCCTTGAGTGTGATCCTCTTATTTCTTTTCTGCCTCAGACACCAATCATCTCAATCTCAACAATTGTGTTTTGCCACTAGTTATGCTAAAGTCAGCTAAATCTCTAATCAACATCTTCAGTAAGATGAAGTTGTCTAGCTTTGTTGATTTGTTTGACAGGAACAGGAAGACCAGTGGATCCCTGCTATCCAAAAAAGCAATTGAAAAAAAATGAAAAAAGACACTAAATACATTCTTTACTCATCTATACATAATCATGTATTCTCAAAAGCGAGAACTGGAACTTGTTAATAACATTCCTACTAAAGACCTCAATCAGAAATGCTAACATAATTACTTTGCAGTGATATTCCTATTTAGGAAGCACTGATAGACCAGAAAATCTTTTATTTATGGAGGATCTTGGAAAAACTTTATCTACATTGTTTACTCAAGATTTCATGTGAAGTTTTTTCACTGAAATACAGAAACTTAACTTTAGTCTTGTAATGTTTCTTAATAAATCATATTGAATCTTCAATAGTGCAATTTTGATAGAAACAAAAGTAGCCTCAAAAAAATCTCTAAATATTTCAAAATAAGGTTCAGCTCTCACTTTGCTAGTTCTCTGAAATTGAACAATTTGCTTAACCTCCCTGAGCCTTCAGTAGGAAATGCCTACTTCAAAATGTCAGTGTGAAAAGTGAATGAAATGACACAATGAAAGGACTTAGCATTGTACCTGACACTTGTATAACCCCTAGTCCTAGCAAACAGTGTGGTACACACTGGATGCTTAATAAATGTTTGATTAAATAACAGTGTAGAGGGGATTTATCAAATTAGATGATAATATTAGCAATAGAAACTCTTATACAAGCTAATAGGGTTACTTGGGGGCTAAAATACATGTGTTCAAATATTCCAGACATTTTAGAATTGATCTTCAATCTCAGGACCAAAGGTGAGCCCTAGCTCTACCACTTTTGAAAATTTTTAAACTTGTTATGCTTACAGTTATAGATGGTAACCATATAGCCATTTCAATTAGAAAGATAGGCATTTATAAATATGTCATTCTTGCTCTCTTCTACAATTAGTCCATATTTTAACTAGCTATTCTAGTAAGAAAACAGGAGAGAAATGAAAGGATTGGCTTATTATAGCTGCTAATATTTTATAGTATATCTTAGAAATTAACAGTGCTTTACAGCAACTTGCTATTTTCATTACCATATTAATAATTTCAAAACGCTTTATAGTTGGAGAATATTTTAGTGACCTAATTTCATCTATTTAAAAAAGGGACAGTTATCTTCACTCTATAGGTGGAGAAACTTTCTTTGCCCAAGTCTAGGGTTACTCATCAAATTCAATGAAGTGAGAGAGTTCTGGGTCACTTGACCATGTTAACTTATGGTAGGATGTAAGAATACAATACCCAATCCTGGACCAATCCTGGACAATTGTGCCTATATAATATTTAAAGTTTACTTATGGGAAATTCAATTGTCATTAAATTTATTAAGTTTTTGTAAAAATAGTTCCTATATTAAAATA